TGTGCAATGCTGGAGCAGTAGTCTAAGATATCCTGTATAGTGAATTCCATAGTAATTCCTGATCCAGGATAGCAGCGAGCAATCAGCCCTTCAAAGTGCTTGTACTGACGTATAAACTCATCTTGCATAGAATGCCATACAACCTGCCAAAGAAAACAAACTTTAGAAAATGCCAACTGGCACAAGGCACAGAATGTAAGTTGCAAGACACTGGCTCATTAATTGATTCTTAGTACAGTGAAGGTGATATTTGAAAGGTAAAGGTTGCAAAAGAATCAAGGTGCAGTTAACTGAGTTGAATCATTATCAAAAATTATTTTTTACCCATTGGGTTTCTTTTAAGACCTTAAATGTTTACATCACTCCTACCAAATTTACACTTCAAAGTAGAAAACAGGAAAGGACATGAGGGGGGGTTCCCTAAAAGAGGTTATATTGCTTTTGTCTTTAAAGAAAGAAAACAAAACAAAACCAGAACAGTGTAACCAATTCACAATAAGACTTCTAAAAGCCTTTAACAACTGCTTAAGTCATGAATCAGTAATAAAATTTACAGAATATTGTAAAAATATTACATAATACACTATCAGAAGATATTCAATCGAAAGTATACGCTGCTACAGAGTAGCAGTTACATTTCCATATCAGATTAGCAGTTCAATTTAAATCTGGTTCTCTCTTCTTTCAGCATGCCCCAGAAATGGAAATCACCCATTAATGGACAATTAGGGAATCATAAAGGAACCTTCTTTGTGACCTCTCTCTACCATTGTAGTTAAAAATCAGTCCATTAAATCAAATGGAATCAGCATGGGGTTATAGGAGGTCCAGCTCAAAACAGTCAATGTTGTTCAGAATTATTCTGAAGCTAGACGTGTCCTACATGTGCAAAAAACATATGCAAAAGCCATAATAAAGTTTGTGCAAATATTACAAAAGGTTCAGCTTATTCTTTTTAAACCATGATTTAGTTTACCTGAAGTAAGTTTTCTTCTTCACAGAGATGTTTGTCTACCTTCTTGTAGAGATTATCCAATCCCTTCTTTACTTCCTTACCGGGATACTCCTTTATAACTTTACGAAGCTCTTGTTTATTGAAAGCCAGCTGATAACTAACTTCTTCTTCACGTATACCTTGAGCCACACGAGCTTCAACACCTTCAAAGAAATGCTAATAATAATGGTATTATTAGTGTAGATTTCTGATAGTTATTAAATATTACTACACATACGCTTGTTTGATGGCATGTCTTGCTTCTGCTTGACAATATGGCTGCTGTGCGTTCCCTCCATTTTTCTTTTTAATTAGGTAAGGTAGCATTGCTCAGCCATAAACATCAGAGCCCAGCTCACTGATCGATAAGTACCAACATAAAACCAAAATTAACCATTTCTAGAAGTAATCAAGCTTTTCTTTGCAATCCTGTAATCAATACTGAATCATCCTCAAACTCCTCAATTAATGAGATCACAGCCTAGGAAAGCGCTGGATCTTTAAGGTAGAAACTTTGACTATTCATTTGAACAGGAAATTCTCTACTTGCACCATAATTATACAGCAGCGGCATTTATTCCTAATGGCCTTCTTTTCTTACCTTCCCCCAGCAGGTAGCTCAATTTATCATTCAAAACAGAGGGAAGTATGCTAACAAAAATCTGTGTAAAGCCACAACATCAATTGAAGTTGACAGCATTAAAAAAGTTATTTAATTCTCAACAAGCCTTATGTTTAGACTGTCCCTTTCTGCACCTGTCTCAGAAAATGACTGGCTGGAAGTAGCAGCAGGCTGAAATTCTTATAGAAAAAAGCAACTAACTTTGGGAAGCATTCAGTGGGCAGAACTGAAATATTTTGCGGCTAAAGCTCAATCATTTGGTTTAACAACTAGCTAAACATAGGACATACAGGACTTTCTTACAAGAGTTACAGCAATATGTATTGTTGAATGTTTAAAAAAAAAAACCTACTTTTCTCTGCAGCTGAGGAGGAGAAAGTTATTGCAAAGCTCCTGATTAGTCATGAAGATAGTCTTGGAAGAAAATAACCAAGTTTTTCATGGCAATGGATGGTACTCATTAACCAACAGTTGTAAGTGTCTTAAATAGCAGGTTTTGAAGGAGAAAGAAATGAGGGGAAAGTTAAGAATACTCCTGGCAGTCACGCTTAAGTCTAAAAAAATACAGATAGCGACTATGATAGATGCAATGATAAGAAGATAAGACCTTAACCAAGGGAACACTTAAGAGAGTTAGCCCACTCCGTATCATTCAAATGTATCAAACCAAACCAGAATATACTTGCATTTAATTTCTCCAGAGGCTGTCCAAGTGAATAGATTACATAGGACTGCAGATGATCAGTGTATTTCTGCTTGGCTTCTTTTTTCTCAGACTCAAGACAAGAAATTTTCAAGCGAGAAAGTGTTGCAAAAATACGATGGAAGTTCTCCATCATGACCACATCCCTCGGTGTTTTCTGGCTTTCATTTGCCACTTTCTCAACTGGAAGAGAAAAACAAAACACAGAATGCTTAAAAAACTTGAAGGACAGACAAATTAAAAAAAAAAGGAAGAGAACCACAATAATATTGCAGGAGGAAACTTGGGATTTTATGTTGAAAATAACCATTTATATGATTGCCATAACTATTGTTAAATGAATGAATATTTGAGAGACTTCAAGAGAAGCAATATACATGTACTGATTGTAAGACTATGGAATTTACATATCAAAAATCACTTAAGAGGATGGCTTCAGCCATAATGAATGCAGTTAAGTCTCTATGCCTGCTCATCCATTAACCATTTTGCCGAGACTACCAAATAAGATGCCTTCCATGAAAATGATTGTTTATGGCACACATTCCTGGGCACCACAGTATCAATGAACAGAACTGACCATTTCAGTCAGATCACTGAAATATCAGGAAAAATCTGCTACCGCCAGTTTTGGTCTTCCCATCTCTTTTCTTCATTCTGCCTGAAGTACTACATCTTTCTGCTTCAATATCACTTTCAAGTTAAATAACCTACTGCGTTAAATGGAATTTCCTGCTTGCACTGATATTATACATTGGTCTGACCTTGATTTATCCTCATTCTTTATTTTTATTTCTTTCTTCTCCCTCATCATAATAACTTGGGGAACAAGTTAGCTCTGTACTCATCCAAAACAGGCTTTTTCATGCCTGATTCGCATCTTCCCTCTCAAATCCCTTTTAGAACGTACTTTCTGAATTCTTCCTGCACTAGTTATTCTGCCATTGTATAGTTCTGCCTTTCCTCTTCTGTTTGCTTAGTTTTCTCACTAGAACTGTACCTTCTGAAGGACAGATATTTCAGGTGCAATCAAATAACATTACAACATTTTTTAAAATCCACTATCAGCTAGGATGCTACTGCTGACTACACATGGACTCTAGCCAACTGTACTATGAAGTGATATCTCCTCAGTATTGTATAATATGTTCAGAACCACCGTGCTACAGTGTCTCAGATGAGCTTCATTGACACCATGTTCTCCTCTTCCTCTCTTTTTTTAGAGGTATGTCACTGGCTGGGAAGTGCTATAGGTGGAGCCGTTTTAGGTAGGCAGGTAAACCAGCACAGAGATGTTTCCTCCCCCCGCTTTTTTTTTGTTGTTGTTTCAATTCTATAAAAATCTCCGCCCACTCGAAGTCTAAGGAACAACAATATTCTAGACTCTAGACTTTTTTTTTTTTTTTTTAAATAGAATGGCCAAAGGAGGGGTTTGCTGTCAGTTTTCTAGAATATAATGAGGAAAATAAGGAAGGCTGGAGAAGGACACTGCTGTGACAGGTTGGAACACAAAGGACCTAATCTGCAAAGAAAGGGGCATATTCATAGCCAGAATTCAAAGGCTGAAGTAGGTCTGGATGTGCTCCCTTGAGGGCTATGAAGATGAACGGCATTAGGTCCACATGCCAAGGATCCTGCCCAGATTCAGCTCTTCAACTAGGCCATGCTGGGGGAGAAAAGACAGGAAACCATTTAAGGTCAGACTTGTCGTGCTGCTGCCATCTCCTCTCTTCCTCTAGAGTCCTGGCCAACTTCAGGGAAGGTAACAGAACCAAAACAAGGCAACGGTGTCTGAGTAAGGGGAAAGGAAGCTGGTATGAAGTCTGTTCCACGCTCCTCCCGTACACATTCCTCAGAGAAGTGGATCTTACTAGCTAGGAATCCCTGCTCTACTTACATTATCTCTGTCACACCATTACTGTTTAATTAATTCTCAGTAGTCAGCTGAAACCTTTAGTGCTTTCTCTGCATCCTTTCATAAAGCAGTAGGATTATTATTTCAGTATTTTTAAAGAAAAAGGCTTAGTAGCTGAAGTAAGTAATAAAAATGAAGAAAAAAAGAAAACAAACACTGCAAGTCTGACCAAACATATTGAGCACTGATTCTTGTCATAACTGAAAATTACTTTTCAGGTATGCATAAAGGGAATATCTAATACTTTGCTTTAAACAAATATCAAAGTTTACACATGCTTCCTTACTGATGATAATGAGATTCTGAAAATTTCAGTACCACGTTGGTCACAGAGTTTGGGATAAAGAGTACAGACTCTTCAAAAATAACAGTATATGTTAACTGGAGAAAAAAACATATATATAAACAGGTCAGAGAATCACTTTTAAGCATAACCCCCTCAAAAGACCTACCACTCACAAAAACAGCTCTAATAAGTTTTATGTAGGCTTTATCTAGATCTCCTCGGCGCTCTGCGTTTTTGAAAATCGATTCAGCAAGGCCTGCAAACTCTTCAAATTCAGCAACAAATGGAAGGATCCCAACTTTACTCTTCTTTGAAATTTTTACTTCATCCATCTGTTTCATTTGGTTACTCTTAAATTTAAAACAAAAAGAAGTCAGTCTCCAATATATAACTTCACACCATGTCATGACCAGAAAAAAAAAAAAGTCAGATAAACTGAAAAACTGACTTTCATTGAAACAGGGAAATCATTTTCTTTTAAGAAGGATCTCTACTTAAGTCTTCCTCCATTTTTAACCCCCAAAAGTTTGTTATGAGGGAAGGAAAAAAAAAGGGGGGGGGCATTGGAGAAGCATATAAAGGAAACAAGCAAAGTTTTCTGGCTTTTGTTTTCCTTTCTTTCTTTACTGGGTATTTAAATAAACATGCTCACCAGAAGCAAATAATACTTGGACTTGCATTCTGATAATCTAACAAGGAAACAAGGAACTTTTATTTTCTGATTCAACCAAGCAAACAGATTCCTTTTGCTAGGGGAAGTTTCTTTAATCTTCTGCTGAAATCTTATTTCTGAGTATTTTCCAAGAAAAAGTCAGCTTCATTCACGACCAGTTTACTGCTTAAAGTATCTTCATCAGTATTATTATATTGGCTTAGACTCAAATTACATTTATAACAAAAAAATTACCAGTTATACCAGCAAACGTTTTCATTAAACTTGCCATATTTTATGCAACGTGGCCTACTGTATTAGCAAAAGCGATTTTTCAACAGTAGGAGCTGCCTCTCCTACTGCCAGAAGATTTGCCATTTTATCTGTACCAACTTCTTGTTGAAAGAGAGAGAAGTAAATAAACGTGTCGAAGAGACGTGTATTTGGCACATTATAAGGGTTTTCCTTCTCCCCTATGAGCGTAAGACTAGGGGAGTGAGTTTGTTTCGTAAGTCAAAAAGTCAGAGAGCTGTATTTTACTTGATTTACTTTAGTAATTTCAGCAAGAGTACAAGTTTAAATAAATAAATAAATAAATAGATCAGCTAGCTCACAGCAGTGAAATCCTGAGAATGAATAGTCTTATTTCTTATAAATAGTTAAGCATTCAGGAAAACTGGAATGGAGAGGGAAGAGAAACACAACCACCAGTTACTCACATTTTTTTTGAAAGTGGGACCAATACACGGCAATAAAGTCACTCATTTTCACTTCAATTTAAAAGCAAAATCTAACTATAAGGAAATGCAAAACCAGACTGGATAGGGATAGGCTTTCTATGGTGTTTTAGTCCGCTTAATCAGAATAACTAAAAGAACTTACAATGCATTTATCAAAGTTTCTTTTGACAGTCACCAAAACATTTCCAAGTGTTGTGCTGAGAAAGGAAGCTGGGTCCACGTTTTGTGCTGTCCATACATGATGGCTCATCTTAACTAGCATATACAGGGAATTGAAGCTATCAATCTTGTCCCCCAGTGCAATAAGATTATTCAGCTCAGGTTCAATACAGCGAAATATTTTTGTCATCATTTGTCGGATCATATCCTTCCTGTTAAAAAAAATATATATATAAAACAAAAATTATTACTCTGACAGTTTAATAGCCTATTTTACAGCTTGCTTTGATATGTATTCTTAGGACAAATTTACGGAATATAATAGTCACATTTGCATTTAACAGGTATCAGGGTTTTCAGAATGCTGATAAAGAAAGAATAAAATACTAAGGCAATACAATAAAAACAGAAGGTCACAGATATAAAATACTCTGAAAACTGTTTTCTGTGTGGAGGCTGCCACATGCAAATTTAGAATTTTGCTAAGCACATTTTGCATGGTAACAAAGCCTTGTTTCCTTTCACTTGAAAGCTACTAGAGTATTAAACTTTTTTTGTTCTACTATAGTCAGAAGCATTCATCCTGTATACAAAAAATTCAAAATTTATTGACACATTCAGCGCCTAGTTACAAATTCAGAGTTCATTATTCATTTTAACTGAAGGAAACAATGTATTTTTATGGAGAAAAAGAGATACTTCAGAGAAATTCATGCTCAGGCTTAAAAACTAAAAATAAACTACATCAACACATACTCAGATGATATAGTTTGAGGACCACCAGAAGCGTATGATCGACATGAAGTTCCTCCATCCATTTCCTCTGCTTCATTCTATAAGAACAAGGAATGTATATACAGGAAGCTGAAAGGTTGGCTCAAATTCTGCATTTAACTGACAAGTACATCTGAGAAAAACACCACCACAATTATCAGCATTTTGTTTTTTTTTTCCAAAGAAGGAAATACAATGGTTTGCAGGGTTCTGGCAGAAGAGTTCTGGTCAATGTTCCCTACAATAGAGCATTATAAACACTTACCTTCCATTGCCTTCCTACATAACCTCATGACATAGTACGCTTAGCCTGGCTTTATGAGGAAATAAGGCCACGGCTAAAACATGTCAGTCCTCCTTTAATAGATCTTGAATTGACAGGCCAAAAACACAGATCCTGCCAGCTAACAGAGAACATGAATTAGTGACAACCTGTTTCATATAACTGCCAAATAAATTCACAAGTTGTCCATCTCTCTTGCTAGGCCTGTTCAACATTTTTGACTTAGTGACAGAATTGGAAGAGCCATACCGTTGTTGTTCCAGGGACGCTCTGATGTTGCTGTAGTTTGAAAAATTTACTAATGAAGTCCTGTTCTGCTAGACACAGAGGCTCTAGCTCACTTAATACTCGTTCAAAAATCTAAAAGAAAGCCAAATGTTTCATCAACATATTGAATAGTTGGAACAGTCAGAAACACTCATTTTTTTAACTGTTTGTTGTATAGGATTTTATACTTTCAATCTTTAGTAAACTTTATAAGACTGATATAAGGCTGACTACTTGATAGAAATGGAAACAGCTCATATTTTTACCTTCATAAATGTTACCTGCATCTTAAACACAGTTCCTTCCCATTCATATAAAATAAGGAAAGATGAAAAACAAAGGAACAATAAACATTTTCCCACAATGAGTAGAGTCTTTCAGTCTCAGTCCGAGGAAGGACTTTCACGATGTTGCAAATACATTAGCACTTCAATAGTAAGTCATGGGTTCAACCACTCTATTTTCTCCCTAGTTACCTCCCTAGGATGTAAAAAGCCCAAGGGAATTAAAATAGGTGAGCTGTGCACGTAGAAGATAACTGCTCTACAGACAAAGATGTAAATTACATCTTTAGAAACCAACAGCAAGTTTCAAACTGAAATAAAAATATTCATCATGATTTTTAGACTTAATCTAAAATGAAACAGTGAGTATTTTGGCAATAATTCATTATAATTTACTAATATGAATTACCCATATGGCAAATCAGGTTTTAAAGTCAGATTGAAATTATTTGTCTATTATCTTTACACACTATAGTACATTTTCTTTGCAAATATTTAAAGATTACAACATACAGTAATTTACATAAATAAAACATTCTGGCAAAGTAGCAAATCCACACTACTGAAAATTCCCCAGAAGGAAAAATAGTAATTAAAAACAATTGAACAAATTACTAGGTCAGCTCGATAGCTGACAACTCTGTATGCTTCAGTCACACTTACCTTCCCCAATAGGTGAGAGAAAGGTCAAAGTAAGGTGAAAAATAGAACCCTTACCTTTTAAAATAATTTTATACAAAAGATTATCATTTTAATTCTAGACGCATCATTACTACAGCAACTGGTACGTATTAACTTGGAGTTAGATTATTATAGGCATATAATATTTCCTCTCAGAAAAAGTTAGCAAGAATTTGGGGAAGGCAGAAAAGTACTCTTTTCCATCAAATAATTCGATATAGAACAAGTAAGTTATTTTTATCTCCTACTCTGAGAATAGGCTTTTCCCCCACACTTAGATGTTAATTCCACAAGAAATGAGAAGTACTGACACTTTCAAAGGTTACTTTTCTAAATAGATGCCAAGGACACTCCAGCAATTATTTGTTGCCACTGGTAAAGCAGACCACTTTGATGAAAACTTTCATGTGAAACCAGTATAAATGGTTTTACCTTATCAAATTTTGTTCTATCAGCCACATCAAGATCAGAGGCAGACATGTTTCCCATATCCAACAGTGAGGATGACTGAGACCTACGGCTCCCCGAACTCTGAACAGAGAGTTTATTTAGGCTAGAAGTAGATCCAGTCAGTTTTCCAGAACTTCCATGGAGACCTATGAAATAAAAAAACTGTGAGGGAGCGAAGCAAAGGTAGAATAAAACACTTGAGAAGAACAGATCCATTACAGAATGCCTGAGATGAGAGTTGCTAATAGTCCTACATCAATACCAAACAATTAATTGAGCCTTCATCTAAGCTGCAAATAACGCATTATTTTCTTATAACAAGGTAAATGAAATACTTCAGCAAGTTGCAAAGCTAAGTACATGGTAGCTATAAAAGCCTGCACTGCAAGTTACAGAAAAAGCTCAAAAGGAACATAACTGTCAGGTACAAGAAGCACTGAGATAGACAGTCTCCTTGAAAACTTGGAAGCAAAGACCAGTTATGATCTTTGTGAATGCAGTTTGGGCAAAGACTGCCAGTAAGCATGAGACTTAATCTACAAGGAGGAAGAAATTAAAAAGCCTTATGTACACACAGGCACTTTCCATCTTCTCTTGGACTTGATCTTCCCACTTTTAACATCCTTTTGTCTAAATAGTTTACCCTAGCTATTTTTCCTCATCTATAGCACCACGTATACTCTACTGCTGATGCTCCCTCCTCCCTTTGATCATAATGAACATCGAGCTGTTTCTCCCTGATATTCCAGGGCCTTCTCTTAGTGGTGAAGAACATTTGGGTTTTTTTTGAATTTTGGAAATGTTGGAACGGGGTAGAAAAAAATAGTAACAAAAACAAGATATCATCAATATTTGATCCACAAGTAAACTTCTCAAATTTCAACTGCAAAGAAACTTAAAAGCAATCTCGTACCATTTCATTTAATTGCTATATTCTCTCATAACTGTCATGCTCTAGGGACAAAGACAAGACAAAGTTTACAGGTCTAATAAAAGATGTTACCTCAACCTACTGCAAAAGTTGGAAAGCTAAGACAAGCTTTCAGGCACAAACTTTAAGATCAATTAGTAGCATGGGAAAAGCAGATGGTACCTTTACCTGCATACCTTGTCTTAGCCAACTTTTATGTTGAACAATTTCAGTTGCACTTCATCCTTGCCTTGCAAAAACAATAATTCTGCTCACGTTTATTTCATTCTGTACAGACTGCTTTAACGTTAGGTAAGTGTTCCACGATGCAGCACTACATCTTTACATTGATACACATGCATTGACAATACCAACTAATGCAACTAGTTATACTCACTCTCAGTTTCCTGTTTGACAGCACTTTCTTTTCGAGGCAGTGTAGCTGGGATGGATTAGGTTGCAAGCATCAAAGACAAAGACAAGTTAAAATGCAGTTTGCACAAACCATGCACAAGATGCAAGTTAAGCTCTAACTGGAAAGAAACATGCAGAGAACTGTAAGCAGCAAGTAACTACATTGCAAACACATTTAGTTGGAGAGGTACTACTCTAGAAATTCAGTGTCTAAACTATACGGAAAACAGATTAAGTATTAAACTTTACTTTTACTTATATGCTTTGTTCAGAGAAAAAGAACGTTCTTCAGTAATATTTATTTTTCAGTTCTCCCAAACAGAGAGGCCCATTAAATTACTTTATTTGCTAGAGTTAATATTGCAAGAGACTCAGTTTCCAAGATCAACTGCTATATGGACACTAAATAAAGAAATAAAAATAAATTTATGTAATTTTCTACTGAGTCAGAGATATCTTCCACCTCTTTAATTAAATGAGCGAGCCCACCAATACTGCAAAATCATTTTTAACTTAACTCAAAGACGACTGGCCAGCCTGTTGTGTTTTACTGTTGTTAGCAACTTGGATGTTTGCACAGAGAATATACCTATGTTATTCATGCTGCATCAAAAACTGATGATTGCAGATTCAGAGAGGATGAAAACAATAAATTTACAGTAAAAAAATTGTTTTTATATTTTTGATTGTCTGTGCAGAATAAAACAATTTCCTCAAGTGGACTTCAATCTGAAATTCAGAGTAAATGGGCATGATAAAATTTCCTCACATTTGTAGTAATTAGAGACTCCCTAACCAGTAAAAGGCATTTGCATACATACACTAAAAGCAATACATGGGATTAAGAAGATCTTGATGAGGATGGATGCTTCAGGCCCCCCAAAATGGAACAAGCAAGCAAGACCTACTGTAATAGGATAAGTAAATACTTCTAAACGCCACAAACATGTCTTAAATACCAGATGTTCTCAAGTAGGCAATAACACTGACAATTTTAATACTGGACTCAAATTTAATTCCAGTCTAGTTTTTTTGTTTTGTTTTTTTAAATAGAGTTTTAAGGCTGATATATTTAGAACATGCATCCGTCATGCATCAGTCCCAGTTCTTCAGTCTCCAATTCCCAAGTGCATGGGACCACACTGCAGAATGCAGAGAGATGCATGCAAAGTTCAGGCCCTGGACAATCAAAGGAGCCACAGTGAGTACCGCATTTGAGAAGCCACATCATATAACCATGAAACAATAGTAGCACAC